GGCTAATTGTATTATTATCACAGATTTACAGGTGGCCAAGGAGAAAGATGAAGAGGTTAAGAATCCAGCTCTGCCACAAGCTACATGGGACAACACAAGAGAATGTCAGCTCCAAACAACTTAGGAAAAAAAGCTGCCCTCTCACTATTAAGAGGAGATTTGGGACCAATATATTCAAAGCTTGTTTGAGGGCACACCATCATCCAGCAGGAGGCCCAGGAATGGGACCCAGCTTCCCAGAGTCTAGGTTTTACCCCACAGTCTCTAGGCAGAGCATTCACAACCTCAGGAAAGGTTTTGTTTAGGGGCATTTTCAACTGAAAGTCACGTTTTGTATCAGCTTCATAAATCTTTGAAAATTCGGCACTGTTAATTCCCCTTGCCAGAGTCAATGAATTTATATCACAGGAAACAAAACTGCAGAAAATGCCTCCATTCTGTTGATACACTCCAGGACTAATGACACTGTAATTTGTTTACTTGTATTACTATCAGTACTACAGTGTAACCTGAAGACCCAATCAAGATTAGGACGCCATTACATCAGGCATGAAGAAGGAGGCAGTTCATATCCCAAATTGCTTGCAATCTATCTACATGAGGCAGACAAAGTACAACTATCATTTTGCAGATGGAAAACAGAAGGAGTAAGCAGATTGCCAAAGGCTTTCAGAAGCTTGTTCAATGAAATCTCTGACAAAAACATGACATAAACCATTGCTGCTGGAAATGCATTTTGGTGCCAATGCACTACCTTATCTATTAATCCCATTACTTTAATATTGTGTCAGGTAATTTTTGAGACACAACATAGATGCTGGATGATAAGAAGAAATTATTATATTTGTTACATTTCTTAACAAAGATAAAACATATAAAATCATAGAATCATAGAATCATAGAATGTTTTGGGTTGGAAGGGACCACTAGAGGTCATCGAGTCCAACCCCCCTGCAGTCAGCAGGGACACCGCCAACTAGATCAGGTTGCTCAGAGCCCCATCCAACCTGGCCTTGAATGTTTCCAGGGATGGGGCCTCCACTACCTCTCTGGGCAACCTGTTCCAGTGGTTTACCACCCTCATTGTAAAGAATTTTTTCCTTATATCGAGCCTAAACCTACCCCGATTTAGTTTAAAACCATTACCCCTTGTCCTAACGCAGCTGGCCCTACTAAAAAGGTTTTCCCCCTCTTTCCTATAGGCCCCCTTTAGGTACTGAAAGGCCGCAATCAGGTCTCCCCGCAGCCTTCTTTTCTCTAGACTGAACAAGCCCAACTCTCTCAGCCTGTCCTCATAGGAGAGGTGCTCCAGCCCTCGGATCATTTTAGTAGCCCTCTTCTGGACCCGCTCCAACACTTCCATGTCCTTCTTGTGCTGAGGGCTCCAGAGCTGGACGCAGTACTCTAGGTGAGGTCTCACCAGAGCTGAGTAGAGGGGCAGAATTACCTCCCTCGAGGTAATATATATGGGAATCTGACCACATTCTTCCATCGTATACCAAGATCATTGGTTTCGTGTTCTATCACAGTCCTCCTATCTAATCTTCTGCAATGATCTGGAGCATCTATTTGTGCACTTAACTCAGGCTGTGCAAAGCTGAGAAATTAGCGGGTGATTTACAGTACCAAAGTTAGGCACTAAGGCATCCTATGTAGTCAGAAAGGGCAATTAGGTACTTCTGAAGGGTAATCTAAAAATCCTGCTCTAATTGTAAAGCAACCAAGAACTCCTTGGGGTGTGGGGGGGAGATATTTGCTTAAACTAAAAGGTTCCCTCTAAACTGTTTCCCAGTGAGGTTGCACCTTAACTCCTGCTGCCACTGGTACTTAGGTCTGTGCATTAAGGCATCAACAATGTATTTGGGAATCAGACCACAAAGTCTGCTCCTGAGATCATGCACCTAGCTGAACAGGGAGAGAAAGAGGCAAAGCTGCCACATGTAACAACCTAATAGCTGGAGTACTGGCAGCAGAAGTGTAAAGCTTGATCATGGTTCCCCTTCATCTTGAGGAGATTCCAGTTCTCACTTCCCGCTTGTCCGGAACATGTAGGGTTGTCAGACTAGAAACTACCCTGCTGAATCCTTACTTTGGTGATGCATGAATCATAAGATCCTGGACGAGCAGACAGGACTCAAGTTTTGCCAAATTATCTAGGGTACCAGCATTTGGTCTTCTCTGGACTTCTGTCTGGACTGCCAGGAAAACTCATGCTTGCTCATAAAAACCTTTTTCCCCAAAGATGCTTCAGAAGTAAGCTACAGGCCTTTTCCTTCTATTTTACTCTATGCATGCACAAAAACCCTAGCCCTTCAGGGAAACATGGAACCAACCATGTTTGCACTCAGGAGCTGTATCGCCACACAGAGTGTGCCTTGGTATGACAGTGGAAGGGCCACTGCAAAAAGTTGCATGTGCTATCAAGCTGTCAAGACTAGGCACCACCGCATGGGAAAGTAATTGGATTGAAAAAAAAAAATACAAAATTAATCCCTGAATTCAGGGACTGGAATACAGCTCCTTTAATACTCCTGCATGAGTGTCTGTTATTCACTCTCTGCCTGGCCCTTTTCTTGTCCATGGCTCTTGCTCTCTTCACTGCTGAACATCCCAAGCTAAACTGGGGGGAGCAGGAAATTTCAGCTTTCTTCTCCCCAGGAACGTAATGGCTGCAGTTAAGGATGTGGCAAATACAGCTATGACCCTCCTCTGTTGGGAAAGGTAATTGAGCATAGGTTTGCCACGTCTGAAACAACTGTTTGGTTATTATACATGAAGTGGGCTCCCACAGGCTGCATTTTTGACTGCAAGTGGCTGTTGCTTCTGTGCTCGATGCTGGATTCAGAGCTGAGCTCAGAGTACTCCAGTGAGGTCAGGCTCCTCTCGAGATCCAAATGATCTCTACGTCTTGGTGGAGTGCAGTCAGTGCATGGTTCCCTCACTTCCCAGGCCACAACGCCTCCCTACATGTATTTGTGCAACACGGAGGCTGAACATGGAGACAGCTTATGAGTTCTACGTGCTCCCAGTATTAGGGGCCTCTGGAAAGCAGGATTTCTGGGATCATTTCCTTGCACCTAGGTGTCTTAATTTTTCCTGACTCCCATTGTAGGTGACAAGACAGATGTTCTGGATATCTCTGCGGATATCTCTGTAATTTAGCTGCTCACTTCCCAAAGCAGAACTTGCTGGAGCGCGGTGAGGATAAGCATTAAGTACAGTGTGGTCTAATGAGATCATATAAATAAGACAGAGATCATTTCAAGATGAATCCCAGGCATATCTGGAATTGCATCAGTATAAAAAGAAGTTATATTGTATTCAGATAAAATAGTTTTAAATTAAAACTTGACATTCATATTTCATCTTTGCCACATCACTACAGACCACTGGAAGAAAACACTTCATTCACTAACCATGTGCTCCCTTTAAAAATAATACCACCAAAGACTGCTTAAACATTGCAACAGCGCTGGAACTGAGGTGATGAGCTTTTTCTGATATCTCTTCTAATCTGGGAGCTAGAGGGGTTGCATAGCACCAATAGCAAGATATATGGAGGAAGCACAGTTTACACTGCAGATTGATTTAATGAGTTTTCATAAAGTCTTTCATGTTAAAAGCCAGCTTATGATAGCCTCATCTAAGACGTTATCTATTATCAGTAAGAGAAAGCAGCATCTTGTTATCTTTCCACAGTCACCATTCACACTCTCTCTCAAGTTATCCAGCAGAACTGTACTTTGTGGGAGCCGCAGGCCTCAAAATTTTTTGCCTATTTCAGTTCTGACATTTAAATTTATCTAGAACTAACTGGGGGTGGGAAGTGACAATTTTATTTCATAAAAAATTTTGAAGTTCGGGCCGGAACAGAAACATATCTTTTAACATCTTCACAAAAATAGTTTCAAAACATCTATTTTCAGATCTAAGTTACAGAGGAATGTCTGTAAGGCTGAGACTGGCACAGGAAACCCACGTGTTTAACTTGTTCTCATTCAAACTAGAAATCCTCATCAGATCGAAATACTCTGAATATACAAACATACAGGAGCTTAAACCCAGACATCCTATATCCCAAGCTAGTGCGCTAACTCCCAACCAACCTTCTGATGAGAGATGCTATTGAAGCTATAGCAAAATGCTTCTTGAAAATACAAATAGCTTTTTAGTTATATTTACTGGAAAATGGTCCCACCTTGCTCCAGCTGTGAACTACAGAAGCAAGTACAAAACTGAGAGAAAGCAACAGTTACTGAACACTAGAGGAAAACATTACCTCACAGATCTTGGCCCAGATCAGTAACTGTCAATCCCCACATCACCTACATTTTGCTTTCTTAAGGAGAAGACCACATAAAATGGCAGCTCTTGATGTGAACTTCCCAGATGGGGGCTCAGACTGCAGAGGTCTTTGCATTCTTTTGACAATTTACATAACTATATACAAAACATAACGTTACAAACTGATTTAAAGGATGGTTTCCCTCTGCTCAAAGGTGCAGCATAAACAGCTCCATTAACCAACTCACCACTTAAGATTCATACAAGTCCATAAAGCAGATGTTAAATAGATGTTGTATTGATTTCTTCAATCCGGAATGAATTTTACTGCCAATACACAGACACATGCTTTTAAGATATATTCAATCATTAAGTCTCTGTATCAAGATCAGAGGCCGGAAAAATATGAACCCAGCATCTTCACTGTTTCATGCTTGATTTCATTGCGTAGTATAATGGCTTAAAGAATCAGGTCCACAGTGTCATCTGTTAACCTCTCACCATTGAACACTACACTTAGCAAATCTAGCATGCACCTCTAGATACTGTAGCCTGAACTGCTCAGCTAGAAGTGAAATATTTAGGAAACCCATCAGAACATAATTATGAGTGACAGAACAAAGTAAAAAAAAAATACAACCACAGCATGTGAAATGGCATATCACTCTTCAACACAAGGCAGTTGGTATCGAGTGAGTATTCAGAACATGCCTTACCTGTGTAGTGCACCACACACGTCTGACCCTTCTTTGGAAATGTCCGTCCTGTTAAAATTATAAAAGGTTATTCTTTTATTTTATCTTATTAATCTGTGTGGCTAGGTGGGTGTATCTTTTAAGAGGAGAACGCCAGACTGAGATTTGGACTGACTGTGTGTTATCAGATCACTAATATGCAAGACAGGAATGGGTATGGTTTAGGGTAGAAGGTCCCAGCTTGGCTCCTATTTAGTTGTTAGACCAAATAGTATTTTCCTTACATAATTTTCTCTAAGTGCAAAAGGACTGTCAAAACTTCACAGATTATAACCTTAAAATTGTCAGAATGTTTTTATTACAATTTTTAAATAAAGTCTTAGTCTGACATTGTGAAAAAAATCCATTTGTATTCACATTTCTAATGCCTTTCACTCAAGACAGCTCTAGCAAGGGCATCTTTAATTAGCCGAGAAGGGTTTTAAAAAAATCTCCACATACAAAGGCAGTTTAATTTTGTAGCACTGGGTGACAGCAAAGCAGTGATACACTGAGCTCTTGCAAGGGCCTGGCAGCTCCTCTTAAAATTTTCATACTGAAAGGAAAAGAAGGTTTAAATTCTTTTCTTGCCACTGGAAAACAGAATTACCATTTCCATTTAACCTGTTCTAGGTACTGCCAAAGGCACTAAAACCGAGGGGAAGATTTTCCAGGCTCAATTAGGTGCCATTGGCATATTAAAGCAGCTAACCTTCATTTCTCAAGTACTGTTGGCCAGTGTCAGAAGAACTTAAATGCTTAAATGAGACCAATTATTAAGGAACATCCTTGCCAGAAAGCTAGAAACTAGGGATTCAGATAGAAACTGAGGCTCGTATCTTAGTTGGCTTTCTGGCCTCTTTAGTCTGAATTAACATGATAACAAGTTATGCATTACAAGGTGCATCGCAGGGTATAAAACATCAAGTAACACATAAGCTATGTACTTAGGGCTTATATGCCAAAACCACCACGAGCAGTAAATGGCAGGAGGGCAGGCTAATATGATGAACCACGATTTATAACATGAAATCGAGAAGATGGTGCTTCCAAGTGTCATCTGAGCAGCCTCCTTCATCAGCTTGGCCGGCTGGAGTACCTCTAGCTGTGGGTTGTACGAAGTGCAGTACAACAGGTCTGGGCACCACTGTAACCTTAAAGTGGGATGAATCTCATTTACCTTTAACCATCTAAAACACAGGCAATTATTGTATGCCAGTCTCCTGGGCTTCCCCTATTGACAGTGGAGAATTACCAGCGCTTTGAAAGAAACCCAGCCCATCCAGAGAATGGCAAGACAAATTATTCTCAGGAGATGACTACAGAAAAAACCTAGAAGACTGCTTTAGACTGGCCACCTAACCTGAAAAAAGTTATACAAGATGAATCCTACCCCTGGTAAAACAGATATTATTCAAATGATGCACTATTATATAGAAATCTGAGAAAAGGAGTATCAGACCTTACTGGCACATATTCTGCTGTGTGGGTATAACAACAGCAGAGTCCATGAAGCTATATCAAAGCTGAATTAAAAGCAGAGATTCTCAAGACCACTGACTAGCTGTGGTTTTAAGACAGTGTTCAAAGTCAGCTGATTTTGATTAAGACTTGCAACCAAGAGAAATAATCCATATAACCTTATTTGGAATAGCATATTGCTTACAAAGACAGCCTTGATATAGTTAATAGCCAGAAAGTGCTACTACGAGGTTAAGTTCCACCCTTCTTTCTACTCTTAACCTAGCAATGTTATGTACACCCATATAAGTATTCTGCTTTTACATCGTTACAACCAAGAGCAGAATTTGATCCCCAGAGCTGAACAGCACCGAGGGAGAAGCCTATTTAAAAGCATACACAAAGAAAGAAAAGATACTGGGCCAAGAAAGTTAAGCTGAGATTGACTCGAACAAATTATTTACGGCTGCACATCAGCCGAGGATGAATCTGGCCTGTTACATGGATACGTATGGCTGTATGTTAGAAATTACCTCCTCTTAAAAAAGCAACCCCCAAACCCTTACCAAACGCTACTGTAACGCCGCAGAAGAGCGGAACGACGCGAGCTGGCTCCGGGAAGCAGAGCCCGCGCCAAGCAGCGGTCATCGCCGCCCGGGCTGCACCGCAGCCTCACCGGCATCGCACGCTTGCCCGGGAGGCGGCGGCGGCCGGGAGGGATGCTTGACACCGGGGGGCCGGGGGCCCCCGGGCGGGGCGGGGG